AGCAGAGATCAAAATGCGAAAACGTAAACCGCTGCCATTGGGAAGGAGAATGCCCCAAGTTATGTCGTCCATTAGCTATTCTATAGGTTCTCTTGCGGCCTCCCAAACTCCTGGGCATCTGATCATACATACTGAAACCTTTATGTTTGACCCAATGCTCTGTGGTACCCTTTTGTTCACATACAGTACACTCCTCTGAATTTCCAACATTAACACCACAATATAACTTGTGTAGGGGAGTCTAGCTTGATTTTAGCAACCCTGCGTAATCCCTACACTCAGTTCTGCTCCTGAGAGCTGTCTGTACGAATTATTTCCAAAGGCGCGAGGCTGAACAGATGCATTGAGGGTTAAATAAAAGTCAGCTGACAGACTGGTGTAACTCCATCGAAGCGATATAGATTTACATCAGTCTGGCTCATTCCGCATCTAGCTTATTTCCTTTTAAAATAAAACCCATAAGACGAAGTTGTGAAGAGGGAAGGATGTGTTTATTTCAGCTGCTGTTTTGCCAAGCTATTAGAAAAGTAATTTTGAGACATGAGCTTTTGCAGGCAGACTGCCTTATCTGTGAATTTCAGCAATTCTGATGTTAGACTATATTCTGAGCCACGGTTAATATATTGGGAAGAATAAGCTCCTGATATACTACCAGCTTGTGGAGGCAGAGAATTCGGGGAAGATTTCCCAGGAGATGGTCAAAAGCCCATCAGGCTGAGCACAGGTTTGATCTCGGTCTCCAAGCTACAGAGAAGCGGGAAAAGCCAGTAGGAGGATTGCTGGATACAGACTGAGTAAAAGGACGGAATGAAGGGTTAAGTGAGAGAAGAGATTTATTCCCTTACTCCCAAGATTAGGTTCCAGACCCGATTCCTCAAGTAGAATAGTAAATGCTTACATCTTATACAGCGTTTTTCCATCAGTAGGTCTCAAAGGACTTCACAATGGAGGTTGGGATCATTATCTCCACTTCACAGATGGCAAAACAGACAGAGAAGTGAAGTGACTTGCTGCAGGCCAGTTGCAGAGCAGGGAATAGAACCCAAGTCTTCTGAACCCCAGTCTTGTGCTCTGGCCACTAGGCCACAAATCCTAAACCCCTAGCAGAACAGTTTAGCCAACAGGACTGCACTGTGCATGAAGTTAGAGAGGAAGAACCTGGGAGTTACAAGACCTGGGCAGATCACTGTCTCTGTGCCTCAGTCCCCATCCCCATGATGAGTACAATACTTGTCTCATTTGCGCATGCTATTACTCAATTTGTGGCTGCAAACACAGCAATGGTGTACAGATTAGACATGCAATGATGCACTTGAAGGCTATAAATTTGGCCTGGAAAGTATAAAAAACCAAACCCTCTCCTTTTAGGTGTTACTATAAAATTGGGTTGGCCCTATTACAAGAGTGAGCACAGGCTCACAACACCTTTATTGGAAACAGTGACCCTTTGACTAATTTCTCTAACCGAAATTAGAGGATTTCCTCTTGCCATACAATAAAAATGGTTTTCAAGTCCACCACATTTTATTCCTAAAGAGCTGTCAGCAAACATCTGCTCTTTCAGGTTAATTTCAAGGTAAATGCCCTTCAAACTGACAGGAAGATAGATCAGGCGATCGTGAGCTTGTCTCAATATACAACTCAATCAACACACCTCTAGATTCTTCTTACATGGAAAGGAATGCAAATGCCCCACTAGAAAATAAAAATTAACTTTTACTTGTATTCCAGCACTAAAAGAAATAAGGCAATTTTATAACAGCTCAGCGCTTTCATTTTCATCTGTGTCCTGAGACACATGGATAATAAAATGATTTATAGTCTACTCTAACATCTTTTAAGAATAATTTTGTACTAAGATTTCCCATTAATCTGAAATACCGTTAGAAATTAAATCCCACGTGTTTCATGCGAAACAGACAAATAGTTTATTTGGAACCAATTCTGCTTAAATATTTATTACATTTCCTTTCCTTCTGTTTTAAATATGCAGGAAGGACAGGAATACGTAGGTGTAACTGGTTTTTATTTTCCCTGATGCTTATTCTCAATCCAAAATCATAATCTTTCATTGATTTCCCTATTTGCACACTATGCAATACCAGAAGATTAGGACTTCAGCACAAGAAGATATTCTTACATGAAAGCAGAATCTTTGCTCTTAAGGATGTCTTTAGCAACAGAAAAAAAAATACAGAACATAAAAGGTATATAAATGGCATTATTTCTGGTATATATTAATTTCCACCAGGCCATAAGTGTGCAGTTGCTTTAAAGATGCATAAAATGTACCCCTAACCCGAGGACCTTACAATCTAAGTGAACAACTATTCACGTGGCATTAGCAGGCAAGATAAGAACATAAGAATGGCCACAGTGGGTCAGATCAAAGGTCCATCTAGCTCAGTATCCGGTCTTCTGACAGCGGACAATGCCAGGTGCCCCAGAGGGAATGAACAGAACAGGTAATCATCAAGTGATCCATCCTTGGTCTCCCATTCCCAGCTTCTGGCAAACAAAGGCTAGGGAAGCCATCTCTGCCCATTGTGGCTAATAGCCACTGATGGACCTATCCTGCATGAACTTATCTAGTTCTTTTTTGAACTACGTGTAACTTTCAGAGAAGTTGTATAACTCTTCTTTAGTAACTTTAAATCTGTACATGGCATATTGACTATTAAAAGGCCAAACTCTGCTCTCGGCCATAACATTGTAAATCCTGAGTTCTCCACCGAGGTGCAAATCCATCATGACTTCAGTTACTGTGCAGAATTTAGCTAGAGGAGTCTGTTCAATCTTCTATACTTCAGTGTATCTAACCAAGCTGGAGGCGTCACAGGCTTCTTATTATCAGTAACAGCCACAGCAATACAGATCGTCAGCAAGAGACCAATGCTACAGAGGAAAATACTCAGTTCCAATCTCTATTCCAGCAGCTCAGTAACATTTATTTACGCAGAAATCAGCAGGTGTGTATTCTGCGTTCTGCTTTGGGGCACCTGCTGTAAAAAAGCAACAGACTTTCTGCTCTGACTACTGTAATTTACACCCAGCAGAAGGTCAGGGGAGCTGCTTATGTGCAACAGGCTCTATGCCACCACCCTGGCATATGCCACTGTGGCTGCTGAAGAATTAAGTTTTAATGAGAAAAGCAATTCTGCAAGGCCTCCTTTCATGAATGCAAAGCGAGAAGAGGGAATCGAGCTGAAGCCAAATCACTGTGGGGTTGTTCTTTTCATCAGCCACAGATGTAATCCATGTCATAGCTCTGATGGCGGGAAAGGGGAGAAGGTAATGTGGCTGGCGTGTGTGCTTTGTGTGGGTCTGTATTCTAAGTGTGTCTCAGGACCAGTTCTGGTTCCAGGCTAAAAAGTGCTCTGAAGAAGGTAAGAGGAGGAGTTTTATTCCAGACTAAATGAACAGGCCACCATAATACAAAGAGGTCTCACCAGAGTACCAAACAATCCAGCACTAACTCATGACATAGTACTTGGGTCTCAAATACCCCACCTTCCGGAAACACTGATCAAGACTTGAGCTTCCAGCCCACATCCACAGGGAGCACCGATGAAAAATGCATCCGCAGTGCCTCACCACAAGACCAAGCGCTCCTATGCATCCTATGGGATGCCATGTCAGGCTCCCAACGTTCCCGCTTGACTGAAGCGGAGAGAAATGTTAGATAACCCTCAGCTGTAAGCTTGGTGTGTGGGAGAGCATAGCCACATCATACGAGACCACTTCAGAGTGCACCATCTTTCTGTCATTACTTTGGGTGGATCCCCAGAGCCCATAAGCGGAGCTGACCAGGAAAGCAGTGCTCTGTTGGATGCCGGGAAGCACAACTGGGGTCTGAGGGAGGGGCCACAATCCACAAAGCACTTCGCTGTCTTTGTGAGCTACAGAAAACTGACAGCAAAGCTACTTTTCATGTGTCAAAAATCCAGACACACGCCCAGCCCCTACTACCTGAACCCTCACACCCCGAGGCAAGAATGTCAGAACAAGCCACCATCACTTGCCTGATAGCTGCTTATGAACTAGATATTTTCAAATTTTTAACAATGACTTAGAAATCCACTAGCAGAGGCCAAAGCTGTTTCCCCAGCACCTGTCTTTCCACTCTGTTCAATATGCTTCTTGTACGACACCCTAGATCCTGGATAACCATCAGCCCTCTGTACAGCATCTCAACGATCTTGTATTTGGGCTCTAAGCTGCCTGGATACCGCAGTATTTGCTTTGCTTTCGGAACAGCTACCAAACATTATGCGGATAGTTTTCTAACTCTGCCTGCTCTGTCTTGGGTACCTGTTTCCTGACTGCTGTAAGGGGTGTAATTCCAGTGAAGTCTCTGTATCTGCTTCCACCAGGTCTGAATCTGGCCCCTCAATATTTGGGCCATTTGTCATCCCTGACAAACCTCTTCACCCATCTCTATTGAGACCAGTGTCTGGCCAGACCTGCATCTTCGGGCCCTGACTCTGCTCTGTATGGAGGGCCGTCTGGAGATCTGCCCTTTTTTCCCTTGCCTTTGCAAGTGTGAACAAGACTGGGCACTGCTCCTCTCAGCTCACGGATCATTTATCATCATGCTCTGGTAGGCTTCCTTACTGAGACAGTTTTCTCCAAGTCAGGTATTGATAAACCAATTGCAGGACACCCAGAACACAACAAGAGGGGTTAAAATGTCACAGGGAAATGCAAAAGCTGACAGGCTGTTGAGGTGGGAATGGCTTATTGTAAGTGTCCCTTCTGCTACTGCTGTGCAGTGTGCTGGGTACTGGCTGACTGATGCCATCCACCCCAGAGCTGGCTGCATTTCAGCCATGCTGTCTGAGTGTAGTTTGTGACGTTCTATGTGAAAGGCAGGATTTGAGATTTCACTAGCGCAAATGTAAAGCTGCCGTCAGCTGATCGCTCGAGCATGGACTTGGGTTGAGCCCTTCCTTAAAAAAGAAAAGCCACCCAAGAATGCCAGTCTTCAACTTCTAGCTTACCTGCCATGCCACGGCGAGTTGGGAGATCTCTCGGCCAGACATGCCCTCCGTCAACTTGGCAATCTCAGAACACTTTGCCCCGTAGTCAAACTCGGCCAGCTTTAGACGCCTAAAGGTCAGAAGCACATGGATTAGTTTCCATGCAGTAACATCAGGAGAAAAAAGAAAAAAAATGGAGGATGGGATTTTGAAAAGTGCTCTTGCGTCCATTTAAGTCAATGGAAACAGAGATAGGCCAGCGCATGAATGCATGCCTAGGGATGCTTGTGTCCCCAAAAAGGAGACACATTCACTGTCACCGGGATCAGGAATAGCACATGGACTAATGCTAGCCACAGCCCTCTGTGGTGGGCTCCCAAAGGCAATGTGAGACTTCTGGCCTGATTTAGACTCCTGCTGAGAATGTTAATTAGGCCACGGGCATCCTGAACTGAGGGAGTGGAGTCCGGCAAAGGGGCCAGGAACTGGCTGAAAATAACGGAGAGGTGGCTGCTGCACTGGTCAACAATCAATACTCGAGCAATTTTATCTCCCAGCAGCAGCTCTATTTTGGAAATTAGGAAACAAAGGCTCAAACTGGCCCCCCAGTGAACTCTTGATTGTCACAGCTGGTCATCAGCTCTTCTCTCATTAATTAGCGTTTCCCCTCTTGCTGGCAAAATTTCCACTTCTCTTCATGAGGTCTAAGCCAAATGTTCCAGCGTTTCATAAGCAATAAGAAAAAAGGGGGATTTGCCGTGAGGCTGAATCTCTAGCCCATTTGTGGGCTGGGCGCCGGAAGGACAAAAGACAGCTCAATACAAAGTGCGCAGAGGACTAGGAATCAAGAGACCTGGGTTCTACCCCCAGCTCTGCCACTGGCATCCTGTGTGATTGGCTGTCTCCAAGCCCCAGTTTACCCCAGTCCGTAGCATGCTGACTCCCGCCCCCATGACTGCAGTAAGAAGGGCGAAGAGGGGAGATTCTCAGAGGAGCTGCTAGGAATAAGACATTGTGTAACTATGAATTAGACGCTGAACGAGAAGTGTTCTGGAAGCAAGTTATATTCTAGGAGCAATGCGTGCAAACTGCAATATGGGTATTTCACAATAGGGAGTCTGCAGCTCACTACTCCCCCTGCAACTCTCAGAAGTGGATAAAGACACAAACCCCACAGTTTAATGAAGTATAAATGTTTGGCTAGCAAACGAAGACTGGAATCAACTTCTTAAGATAGCAGAGGGCACACTCGAAATAAGTCAATGCCTAGGAAATATTTCTTCTGCCTTCACTTTGCCCCATTTCCCCCTTCTCTAATTATCTCCTGATTGTAGTCACTAACAAGAGATGCTTATTCTGGGAGGAAAATAGGGAGAAGAACTCTGACAGACTGGGATATGCCCCAAGCCCACCAAAACTTGAAGTTACATCTTCTCGGCCTGATTTTAACATGCATTGCACTGTGTGTCACTAAAAGCAAGTGATACTGCCTTAAAATGAACCCAAAGGGAGTGAGACTTGGGATGCCGAAGACAGAGTATCCGTTATTATCATAGCACTTATACGTCCCAGTCATGGACCTCATTGTGCAAGGTGCTGTACAAACAAAACAAAACGATGGTCCCTGTCCCAAGGACCTTACAACCTAAGTCTAAGACAAGACACAACAGATGGCTACAGACAGACAGACGGTGGAGTACAAGGAAATGAGGCAATACTGGTCAGCATTTTCCCCAGTGGTGTCTGCACACCAGCAGCCTAATCACTGTCACCAGGGTATGTTACCTGTCCCTTACCCCAATTCTGTTGAAGAGCAGGGGACACTCTCGAATGATGGCAAAGGAAGCCTAAGGATCATTACGCAGCACAAACACTACTGAAGCCCAGAGGAATCCACCTTCAGACCAATAGGCACAATTGGCTGGGAAGAGGGCTTTGGTCTCCAGTGATGATTATCAAGGAAGAGCTTTTCTATGACAAGGACAAAACCTTCAATGACCCCACTGCTCTGAGGATAGGATACTTACTGTTTCCCCTCTGTGGCAGGCTTCAAGACGTGCTTATCAAAATACATCCTCACCAGACGCTCCCGCTCTTGTAGCTGCGGTAGGTCAAAGTTCACCATTTCATCGATTCGGTCGTTGATGGCCCAGTCAAACTGCTCGGGCTGGTTGCTTGCTAAAACAAGCATAAACCTGGATGTGGGGGGGAGGAAGGAAGAGACAGGAGGTGAGATCAGTGAGAAAGACACCCATGGATGCAGATCCAATACGATGACTCATGACTGCTATGGCCCAGAGATCTGCACACCATACAGAGCCCACGTGCGGTAATCTTTCTTCCTCAAGCTCCCCAAGCCCATCTTCTCCCACTATCTAATGCTCCAGGGAAGGTCTACTCGCAATGCGGAAAGTGGTATTGGCATCGCTACCACAGTGACGGACGCGGGCTGGAAAGAGGCTTGTCGCATCAGTGCAGAAGCAGCTGGCTGGAGCATGAGCCCCCCCCCCCCCCCCCCAAGACCACCACCAATATCTCCTGTACGAGCCAAAGCAAGAGACAGGCCCCGGTCTGGCAAGGGGACAGATTCCATCACACCTGAAAGCTCTTACCCTCTAGCAGCAATCTGGTGGCTTAAATGAAACAAGCTGGGGGGGCAGCCTCAGTCCAGTTCCTAGTGCGCGCATGTCCACCCCACAAAAAGCCCTTGCTGGCCCTTTCAGTGGAAGCCCCAAGGACTGAACAGAGCCATCTTGGCGGTAGGTGCGCCCCCTTGCACGAGGGGAGTGACACTGGGAATGGCACACAAGGGAGGCTTGCACTGCTGGGGCTGCACGTGTTTTGTGACAGGAGGATTTGGGTCTCTAGGGCTCAGAAGCCAGCAGTTTGCAGGCACACTAATTCCTTTTAAAAGATGGAAACATTTAACAGCAGGGAGACTGCAAGTGGCAGGGAAATTGCTTTTGATTTAAAGCTGAGTAATGCTATACGGTGTTTCTTTCAGTGCGAACATCCTGTGAGAGCCCAGCCTTTCCAGCGCACCTAAGGGAAGCAGGTGTCCAAGAATGGGCAGGCTGACCTGACCCTCCTCTTGCCCCAGCACACTGGACGCTGCTCCAGCTACCCACCCCGCTCTTGCCCTCTCCCTCCCTTTCTGGTCGCTTCCCAATTTGCATTTTGAAAACAGAGCGGCTGCTTTTTCGCTTTGTGATGATGCGCTCTCCCCATGCCAATTTCGCTTTAGTGCATTAATTGATGCTACTGGCTTAATGGTGCAGTATAATTTGAAATGGGCTTTTAACAGCAGCTATTGGAATATTGACCCTCTTGCCGCTTGTTGAAATCCAGGCCTGCCGGGGGCCATGTTCTTCACATTTATTTGCAAAGATAACTTCTCTGGCCCAAAAGTCGCATTGGCATTCCCCTGAGCCATGGTGGAAGAACAGCTGGGCCTTCCTAGACAAAGGTCTTTCCTTGGCGAGGGGGAAGATTATGTGAGACAGCTCGAGAGAAGGGAGTGGAGGAAGTCGCTTGGAGATGTTAGTAACAGGTACCCAACATTGAGATTTCCCAATACGTCCTTTGGGGAAGCTAAGATCGGCTACATAAAACCTAGCACTCATTGAAGGCAGTTCCTGCTAAGTAACAGAACGCCTCAGGGTCCCACTGACACTGGTGTATTTACATGGGCTACTAGAGTTACCTAACAAAATCCCCATATATCGCTGGCAGGGAGGACTTCTCTAAAAAAGCTGCAGTGAGAATCTCTGAAAATTAAGCAGTGCACAAAATCAACAGGAGACGTTCGCTTTCCTAGAATGGTTCACTGCAGGAGTCATGGGCGAATTAAGTACTCATCAAAATGAGGAGCTGGCCATTTGGATTGGAGCACAGGACCAGCAAGCACTGGAAGAAGCTTCTCCAGAGCTCTGCCCAATGCACCTCAAAAAGGGAGCTAGAGCAAGGGGTTGGTATGAACCATTCCCCGCCTGCTGCTGGATCGCAGTGTGATTGTGACTCTGACGCCAGGCTTCAGTTTACCCTTGGAATCGTGAGCCATAAGGTTTGCAAAGCGCTTCGCTCCTTGGGAGGAAAGATAGGAAATAACTACGATAAATCTTGAGCTACAACACACTCTATTAATCCTGAGTCCTGGGGCTTCTTCTGGCAGAGCTCCCTTGCTGAGCTCAATTGCTTTGGCAGGGCATAGGGTAAAAGACAGTTCTGTTAAGTGACCTGATGGCTAGATTTTATCAGTTGTCACCCTTTAAATCTTTGCAGGGTTGCTTTAAAACAACATTACACCCACTCAGTATGTGCAGTGTTCATTCTACTGCCATACCTCTGGGAAATCCTGAGGTAGCCCTGGTTAATTCTTATGACTAGCTGTGCTTAAATTCTTTGTGTTGCTAGAGCTTTCCAAAGTGCTTCAGAAAAAGAGGACAAGAATCATCCCCATTTACAGCTGGTGAAACCGAGGCACAGGAATTGTCCAAGACCAAAGAGAGCCAGGAACAAAACCCAGCTTTCATGTCTTGTGCTTCAGTGCCCTATGCAGTGGGCCACATTCCCACCCTTCTAAGGCAACTGAAAAGTTTAAGGGTGACCAACGTACATAAACAATAAACTTGGCAGACTATAGCTCCCATCGGTGCGAATGAGAGTCCTGGGGGTGCCTCTGGGAGAAAAACTCCAGCTAGTGTCCTGAACCAATCACACAGCGTTACCATAACAATGTGCACTTCGTTATCGATGTCCTTCATTACGTTTTAATCACTGGGCATCTGACCTCCCCGCACTCAGAAAGGAGATGGCGATTTTTGACTTGGCTCCTTTATAAGAGGAGAAATTTAATCATCAAGCAGACTTGGCAAAGAACCAAGTAAAAAATTACTTTAAAGGGGGAAAAAATCATCTTCATGTGACCATGATGATCACAGGGAAATGATTCCCATTAAACTAAGCGGTGCTCTCCGGGCAGGAAATGCTGACTACACAGAAACTGGGCACAAGATGAATGACAGCCAAGACAATTCATATGCACACGTATTTGACAAGAGCACCAAACAATAATCTGCGTTTGTGGACGTACCTGACAGACTCTTAGAGAACAGCTCTGGGTTTCATAAGTGTATTTACAGTAGAGAGTACAAATATACTGAATCCACTAGACAGCTTGCTCAGAAGTGAGAACAGGGCCAGCTTTAGGCACACGAGAGAGATGCTCACCCCTCGGGCACATGGTCAGAGTGGGCACTAGAACAGTGAAAGAGCTGCAGGTCAAACAGGCACCAGGGAGTCCTGTTAAAGGGGTTCAAACACACACCTGAATGCAAGCCTACCACCTTCTTTAGTGACCCGGACGTCCATGAATCCAGACTGGATTGGTTTAGCAGAAATGCTAACTGCCCAAGAAGGGGAAAGTCTGTGCTTCTGCTTCCTTCAAGGCGATCTACAGACCCATATACTGCCCTTACCCGTTTCAGTGAAGGTTGCGCAATGCACCTCAAGTGCTAAAACAGAGCCCTAGGTAGTATCTGCATGGATAAGGACTGCTCAGTCTCTTGTACCGTATATTATAATGAGGTCTGTACAGGCTCCCTTCAACCACTTCCTGGGGCACTCAAAGAGCCTCCAAGTTTGAAAAACTGGAGTCTCCACTCGTGCACTACACTTACAAGCTTCTTTTCTGTCTCCAAGGAAAGAGAAGCAGGTGACCGAATTTTTTTGTTATTTTTAAGATGCAGTAAGTCACTCAGTTTGCTCAGCATAGATTTTTGTATCTCTTGACGGAGGAGATCAAAGGTCTAACTTCCAATGACCATCTCAACTTGTATACCCTGGCACCAGGCAAAAATGCTAGAGAGACTTCTGCCTGCTTTTACTGAACATGAGTTATTGCACTACAGAGACTGGGTTCTTACTTGTTGCTGTGCTGTCCCGTCCTGTGCAGAAATGCATTCAATGTCGCTCTTAGGTCTTCACTGATTTTCTCCTGCAAAGATACATTTCAGAGGAGCGTCACTCACCTGGTGGTCAAGGATGGGCCGCAACCTTTGCAAATATGAATGGTGATTTTTCTGTTATAGTAGTGCTTAGAGGCCCTGCAAGAAATCAGGGCCCCTTATGCTAGGCACTGTACACATACAGTGAGTGCCTGCCCTGAAGAGCTTGCAGTCTACCTATTCAAGACAGAGTGGGAAGGGGAAAACACAGATGTGAAGTGACTTGCTCAAGGTTACCAAGCAGACCAGTGGCAAAGCCAGGAATAGAACCCAAGTCTCGTGGCTCCCAATACAGTGCTCTATCCACTGGACCATGCTGCCTTTGGCTGAATAATATGTCAAAGGGAAGCTTTCACTTTCTATCTAGGTACTTAAAAGGAAGGAAATAAAAAGCTGCAATGAGAAAAGGATTCCCTTGCATATGTATTAATATGTTTTCTCCAGGGCTGGATGTGAAAACTCTTTAAACAGATCACTTGGATTCTGAGTGCTGAGCCTAGGGGCAAGATGAGATTTGCCTTCAATGCACAGCACGGGGAATTGTTCTTAAACAGGCAAAAAGGAATTTGTGGCTTTTTTTGGCGCAGCTTTGTTAGTGCTGTGGAAAACAACTCGGCTCTGACAAGAGTCCAAGTCAGCCACTTGCTAGGGTAAAAAACACACCCGCAGGGGCACAGCAGTGAAAAGTGGGACCATGTTTCCGCTGCCTCCTGTCATTTTAATTCCTCATTTTTTCTCCTACCACCCAGCCACCTGCAAGCTGTCCAACACACAGCTCACGCTACCCACCTCCCACTGCTCGATGGAGGAAGGAACAAATTCCCAAGTCAATCTTGAGCAATGTTTGCCCCACACAGCTGCAAGAGGGTAATTTCTCCTCTCCAAGTCTCTTAATGATGTAAGCAGTAGGGAACCTGCCAGTTTTAATCATTTTTGCTTGTCGAGGCTAACTAGTCGGGTTAATCGAGAAAGCTGCTGGCTGAGTGACCGACCCCTGCCACACACAGATGGGGGTTGCAGGGAAAAGCACTTACTGTTGCCCTCTTCCGTAGGAATGCATCTGCTTCATCTACAAACAGCAAGAGGCTGTGAAGGGAAAAAAACAAAACAAGTAGAGACACAGGGAGACAGATACAGCAAGGGAAGAAGGCAAATGATCTAGAGCACCCTAACTGGCTTAGGGCTCCTCTTTCCCCAGACCTAATCATCAGAGGTGTCTAAGCTGAAGCTCCACCAGTGTATATGGGGAGGGGCTGTTGGCGGGGTCCCCTAGCTTTAGAATTTGTCCCCCATTGCTCAGAAATAGCCTGAATTGGAGAACTTTCAGGGCACATTGCAAAGCTTATCTTTTTTTCTCCAGATGTTTGAAAACAGGAGGGTGTGGGGAACAGCTGGTGGGGGTCCGAGTCGCATGGTTTAGTGGGAGTGGATAATCCTAAATTGTACAGCTGCACTTGAGTGATGTTCAAGTAGGGTAGGTGCTCTTAGCATCTGTACACGAAGTAAATGCACAGCTCAGGGCACTAGGCAGAAACCCAAGAACACAACAGGCCCCGGGGACAGTATATTCCATATAAAAATTCCATGGCTATGGCTGCTGTTATTTTACTGATGTGACTTTCGGGTCACAGCCATGGAATAAAAATTTCCCCCACTAACTAGTGGTATTTTCCCCATCCCCCTTCTTTATTAATTTTTTTGAACATACAGCTGGAAATAATGGTTTTATTATTTATTCATTCCTCCAGGTAAAGCCAATGAATAATTCAGAAAAATAAATGCCTTAGTAACCCAAGATTTCTGGTCCCCGCAGGAGACGCAGGGTAAAGAGAGGAGGCCAATGTATTATGTTCTCATCTATCCAACACAACAGATATTGCTTCCTTTCAAGTGATCCAAGTGCCTTTTTGAAAAAAACAAAACAAAAACCTTTTACCCAACTCCAGCTTCCCTGGAAGTCGTCTCAGCTGCTCTTTCCCATCAGAACAGTTTCTTAAGAGTTGCCTCTGCCCCTGCCTCCAAATACTGGCAGCTTAGCGGAGGCAACAGCTCAACTACAACTCTGAAAGGCAACGTATGTCACCTGATGGAAACTGTTTAAAAGCTTGTGAGCGCTGCTCCAAGAACATGCACGGATACATCTTCGGAACCTTTCCATTTACTATTTCTGGGGTGCAGCCTTGAGATAGATCAAGTGTGCAAGTTCAAATTCCAGACCAACTAGTGCTGTGAAATGTGGTGTTCTGACAGGGAGTCTGTGTTAGAGGTGGAAACCTCATCTCTCCTCTCCCCCTGACACCCCCCGCCCCCTTTCCAGAACAGTAGCTGCCTACTGACAGTAGGAAAAATGATCCAAACCTACGGAAAGCAGCCTGAGGTTCCTCCAGCCCTCTCTCAGATGGCCAGTTTTCCAGCACACTGTATGCAGTGGAGTAACTTCACATCTATGCCAGTCTATTTTCTTAAAAACTGTATGCCTTCTGCCTTCCAGCTCCTCAAAATGGAGGCTGCAAACTCTTCCAAAGGAAGTTTATTTTGCAAGCTTTAAATAGCAACTTTTAGGAGCAAATTAAAACATTTTGGTGATGAACGCACCAGAGTATCAATATGGACACTGCAAGAGAATGTCTGTCTGAACCAATAACAGGGCACATAAATCACCCATTAGCCCTCTCCATACAGCCTGCAAAGTAGCATAGGAGCAAAACGAGATGGCTCCCAGCCCTCTATTAGATTTTAATATGCCTGGGAGGGGACAAGGGTGCACATAGAAGAGTGGTATCAGCTTCATGCTGTCCTGCAGCTCGCATGAAGCAATTCACATGACCACAAATAGCTTAGCTAGGTCCTCTCTCAAGACTCAAGAGGGGGGATTTAGTCTGAATCAAAGAACCACTCCAGAGTGTTTGTTTTAAAGGGGTCTTGAAAAGGCAGAGAGTGTTTGTGCTTTGCTTCTTGATGAATGTCAATGTGTTTGAATGGATTGTTACAAACATCAAGAATAGAATACCCTGGTTTTGCTGGAAGCTCATTGGAGAACTAACCAGACAAGCAGGAGGATCATGACACCACAACAGCCTGAAACCTGAGCAACAGGAAGGAGGGGGGGGAGGGGCATTATTAGACAGGCTCTTTAAAACCTGGTCATGTCTCAATTTTTGTTAACATTTATTTAATTCCAACCACTGACGCACTTAGGAGAATAGCTCTCCGGGATTTACCACTCCCACCTCTTCAACTGGGAAGTGAGACAGCTGCCATTCCAGTTCTCCGTTCCTCTATGAAAACACCCAGATAGGGCCAGGGGAGGCAAGCGCTGACACCCCTGAGAAGTCTCAGGTAAAGAGCAAGCAGAACGTTCTTTTTCCATGAGTGGGGGGCCAGGAGGGGAAGAACTTTTTCAGCCCTTTATCCATCATTAAGCAGCCGAAGAGGGCACCCCATTGCAGGTCAGTATTAAAAGGTATGATAGGGGATGGCTAACGCAACCCCTGTTCCATTACAGTTTCTACCCAGAAGCATCTGTGGGTACATCTCTAGGGCAATCACAGGGTGTGACTGCAGCCCAAGTAGACGTATCGGAGCTAGCTTTAATCTAAACAGCTCAGGTCCTGGAGCAGCACAGGCTAGCCCCATGAGGAATTACCCGCGGTCCTGGGCAGGCTTGTACAGTGCTCACTGAAGCTCCTGCTGCCCCAGCTGTACTGGCCTAGGATCCAAGCTAGCTCGGGTATGTCCATTCAAGTTGCAATCACACCTTGTGACTGAAGTACAGACATACCCTATGATTCACAAATGCCTGGTCATTACGTGCTCCCATTCCACTAGGTCCCCCATGCAAGGTAAAGGATCTATGCAAAGCTCAGATGCCAGAGGAACTCCTACTTACCCTCTCTTACTTGTGTTAGCCCAGTCAAAGACTTTGTGCATGGCAGTAACTCCTTCCCGCCCCATGGGGGCGACATCGCCACCTGTCATGATGGCATAATCCATGCCTGAATGCATGGCTAATTTCTGGAAAATAAAGAGGGAAGAGAAAAGAGGGTGAGAGTGGTGATTAAGATGTTCTCATTCACTATTCAAGAGCACAGAGCAATGAGGTGGCAAGAGGGTGTTAAATTACTGACATTCTATGGCTTGGGATATGTCAGAGCCTCTCCACCTCATTTGCCCATCTGTAAAATCCTCAGAATACCGCCCCCTCACCTGGTTGAGAGTATTAATGCTTGCGAATTACTGTGCTGATGAAAAATGAAAGTACAAGTTGTATTAAACCACGCTCTCAAATCACAGAGGGGCACGTTAGCGTATTTTAAGGGGAAGGAAGACTGGATAACCTTGCAGGCAGACTCAGGACATCCAGATTCACAAATTTTAAGGCACAGAAGGGACCACTATAATCCTATAGTCTGATCTCCTTCACAGCACAGGCCAGAGAATTTCACCTAATGATTTCTGCATCAAGTCCATAATTTTTGCTTGAGCTGGAGCACATATCTTAGAAAGACATCTCGTCTTGAGTTAAAGACAGAGTGATGTGGGCTGTTCCAATGGTTATTACCCCTGCCTGTTAAAAATATACACTTTAATTGTAGCCTGAATGTATCTAGCTTCAGCTTCCAAACCGGGGATCATGTTATGCCTTTGTCTGCTAGATTAGAGACACAAAAAATTGTTCTCATTTAAGTATTTACACATCTTGATCTATGTAGTTTCTCCAAGAGAGAGAAATGATTTGATTGAGCTTCTTCGGTTTCTCAGTTGTAAAGCAGATTTTCCAGAATTCAAATAATTCTCGTAGCTCTTCTGAACCCTTTCCAATTTGACAGCCATGTTTTTTAAAAACAGGACACCAGACTCCCTCCCCTTGGGCAACTCATTTAACCTTTCTGAGCCTCAGTGTCCCACCTTCTGATTACACTCTGTATCCCTTTCTCTGCATTGTTTGTTTCGACTGTAAACTCTGCAGGGCACGGACTGTTTCTTGCCTGTCTGTGCAACAAGATGGGGCCCTAATCTCAACTAGGTCTTTTAGGGGTTAGAGGGATACAAACAAGAAGGGACGAAGCTCTGCATTTCTCTATTTGCTGATGGAGTTAAAAACCTGGATTGTTGTTGATTATTTAACTTCTCTAGCATTCAGCCTAAATTATGGAACTTTTCCTTCCCTTTTGGAGGCTGTTTTTAAAGCCTGACTCAAGTCATTGATCTGGTGACTGCCAAGTGAAGGGTTTCATAAAGAAGCCTTTGGAGTAGTCCGGGAATTTCTCCCATAAACCTGAAAGTAAGAAAATCTGCTGTGCTTGTGCAGAATGCCAGCTGATCCATCAGGTGGGTTTGACAGGACGCAGAGACAATGTTTATGGAGCATAGCTACATGCCAACTGGAGTTGCTCAGGACGCTGTGTCGTCGCAGGGTGGAATTATAGCACCAAAAGAACCTCCCTTTGTCCCCCCAGCTTTGGAGCAATAGACTTTAAAGCCAGAAGGGACCATCATGATCATCTAAGTCTGACCTCCTGCACATTACAGGCCACAGAACCTCACCCACCCACTCCTGACAGACCCCTAAGCTCTGGCTGTGTTCCCGAAGTCCTCAACTCATGATTTAAAGACAATGACATTAACTCCCAATTTAAACATCCCCTCTACCTGACTACAGGATGCCAGTGGGGATTTAGCCTGCAACTGCCCGTGTCAGAGCCGTAGAGGGCTTGGTCGAGGGTTCCATCTGCCCCAACACACAGGAACTTTGTCACAATAAACGTTTTGCAGGAGGCGTAAGCATGAGCGACCGTCTGTTCCACACACACCTCTGGGCTCAGGTGAGCGTAGGAAAGAAGTAGACAGTAGAGAGCCTCTTCCTCCCCCGGACCCCGCATCAGGAGGTGGTAGCCAGGAGCAGCTTGATGGAGCCCTGCCGTGGCCAGCAGGCTGGACTGAGAAAAGAACTCAAATCGCCAGCGCAGTCCTTGCCACCCAGTTCTGCCGAATCAGCTAAAGGGAAGTTGTCTGAAGGTCAAAGTGAACAAGCCAGTTTGTGCAGCCACAGCTACATACGCCATTAACATCTTCCCATCTCCAGTGAAACATGCTTAGCTGAACAGGACCAATTAATTGCTGGGCGGCAGGAGGCAGGGGAAAAAAGCTTTGCTTTGTCCATTAAAATCACCCAGCTCCTGCTGCTAAATGTTAAAAGTGTTCTGAATCAGGCTGACAGTGCTGGGAGCTCAGAGCCACATCTCTGGTGTTCACATCCTGCCATCCGGCACAGCTACTTAACAGACTGTTGACCCATGGAGCCCTACACTGCAGGAGGCAGAAAACCCTGTCACGTTGCTCCACGCTGCCATCTTTTAGTGTTCACTGAAGACCGAGTCCATGTAGCTGCTTTGTTTTCTGTTAAAGCCTATCTGAATGCTGATGCTGTGGGACAAGTCAGTGGTTTTCAGCCTCTTTCCTGGTGGATCAGTAGCCACATCACAAAAGCCATCCATGCCACCACAACTGGCCAGTGATCAAACGGGCTATGGAAACAGAAATCCAGTGGCCGCTAGAGGCCAGGATTGAAGGAGATCAATGAGGCAGTGTGGGCAAACAGCCACTGCTGCTGGTTGGGCTGTATCTGTCCTGTGCAGAGTGGACTTCCGTGTCTAGGGCTAATTAGCTCGCACTTTTCAAGGACAGCCATCTTAACTGACCAGTGCCTTCCACTCTTGTTGGGGAGAATAAGGTGACCAAAATTACAGGACACTGAAACTAGAAGACTCATTTAATACCTTAAGAATTGTATCCGAACAGGGAAAAAAACACACACATTTCAGTATTTTAAAAATCACAAAATCTAGGCATGATTCCACACGGACACCAGACCTGGTTTGGAGAGCACATTTCTACAACAGAAGGAGCAGCCCTGAGAGTTCAGTAGCCTGCAGAGTCCTCTGACTTTCCTTATTTGGCCACCAGTTTTTTAAGTACTGGAAAGCCCAAGGGGGCACTGAATTCCCAGGGATGGTGTCCCCGAGTACAAGCGGGGCCCGACAGCACACATTGCCATACACACGTGCTCAAAGAAAATATGCAGGAGGGCGTAATGGGGATGTGACCATCAAGGTGGGGTGCAGACTTCTCTCCCCACCTCCCATTCATGGGAGCACAGATGCTTGGGATGGCAAGAGACCAACAAGAGCAGGACATATTTCCTTAGAGTAAATCACAAGAAACTGATGCTTTCCTCCCATCAAATTGTTAAATAATGATGCCGGTAGCCTATGTCCCTTTACACTAGAGTCATGTTTGGTCTACACTTGTTCTTCTCAGAGGTCAAGTCAGCTGATCCATAATTAGACTTTACACCAATGATGTTCAGATGAGCAGATGAATTCTAAAAGTAGCTAGTTTCCTATGGTACTGGCAGCATCTCATTTTGCTATTTAGGAAGGTTTACAAAGCCTGTGCTGCAGCTCCCCCACTCAGTAGCTATCCACCCATATTTTAGTTGTAGCACGCCTGTGTAAGACCTGAGCGTCTTACCAAAGAATGAGTAAGTGCATGGGGTCTCTGCACCAGGGGCTGGTGAATTCTGGCTGGCAGCAGGGTGTAGATTCAGTGCCATACAACATATTGTGTGCCACCACCACTGTTATTCAAGAGAGACAGACGATCCAAACAGGAGTAATGGACTATCTGGTGGTGTAACAGGCTAATGAAAGCACAGCTCCAGCTGCGATAATGCTGCCTCTCCCTGCAACTAAATGTAATGCTTGTGAAAGGTGTTATCTCAGGAATCCTTGAAAGCTTTTGTTTCTACAAACAGCCGTTCAGCAAGGGTAGAGACAGTTCAAGCCATAACATCTCCTCTTTTCCATCGATATGTCAACTCCAAACCTGAGGGCTAGCTTCGAGAGGCAAGATGCTAATTCAGTCTCCATGACCCATACAATGCTTTTCACAACATGGATGCTCTTAACACAGGAATAAGTCAATGAAAAAAGGTGGCAAATTCAAGACTGAAAAGGAATGACTTTTCCACACCATGACTGGCCTGTGGAACTCATTGCCACAAGAGATCACTGAGCCCAAGAGTATAGCAGGATTCAGGAAGGACTGGATGTTTATATGGATAAGAATATCCTGAATTAGAACAACACATTAAAAAAAAAGTTTGGAAGGTATCTAAACTTTCCTGCATCGGGTCATAAGCCAACAGTTATCAGGGTTGGGCGAAAGTTTTTTCTGGGGCTTCGAGAGCAAAAGTGAAATCCATTATCTAAGTTAAATGAGGCCTTTCCACCTCTCAGAACTTCTGCGTGAAAGTTGTGTGCTGTTTGTCAGAGTCAAATCCACACTACATAAGAGAGAAGCACACACAGAACAATTCCTACTTAACCAGCCCTCCTGCTCCCTCCCCCTATGAGTTAATAAGCAACAGGATAGCCCCTGCTTATGAGTCAAATGTGATTAACAGAGGCGGAAATGAGATACCAGGGCTGGCGTTGGCATTTCACAAGTCATGTCTGCCAAGTGGCGCACACAGGCTGTTTCATGCCATCAGCCAATCCAGAGGGAACAATTTCTCTCTCTAGGCTGAACACTAGAATTCAAGCCACTGGACTGGCTAGCCTGGAGCACAGAGCAAAGCGCTATAAGGTAGATGCCCCTTCTTCCTCCCTCAGCGCCCCAGAACCCCACTACACACACACAAACATACATCAGGGCTCGGCAAAGCTACAGCAGTTGCTTGCAGCCCAGAAAGGTCTAGTTATAACATTGTAGGATATTCCTTGAAAATCCACAGCTGGGCCATCAGGATCTTGGCAGGGCCTTACCTTGGCAAAGAGAGTCTTCCCAGTACCAGGCGGGCCGTACATAAGGATATTCCTGTACAAACTTTTGTTGTTTCTTGTATTTCGTGTTGCTATGGCAATGTCTCTCACCCGCTCCTCCAGCTTGGGCTGCAAGAGGAGAAAAGTAAAGTTTGGGAAACAGACAACATATCCGATACCCAGAGCTGGTCTCTGCGTCACACACTGGTATAGGCAGATGGCTGTCAATACTGTCTGCAGAGAGCAGGGTTGGAGTCTCAGGTCTGATGAGTTCTTAGCCTGAATTGCTGCAGCTTATTGGCTTGGACTTGAGTAGTTCCTCCTCCTGCTTCAGGATTTATTGTATTTCAAGTTATAATTCCTTCAAATTCAAGCCACAATGAGCGAAGCTTTAGCTAAGAAGACTAATTTTTGGGACCGATAATGGATATGAACATTTCAGAATCTACCCTACTACGGATGCTCTAGGAGCTTATTTTCCATGAATTACCTACAAGAAGGGACGAGAGGGGGAAGGGATGTAACAAGCCAAGTTAGAAGCAAAACTATTGGTAGTAATAAATCTTCCATGTAAGTGGGAGTGAATGAATTTCTTATACATATTCTTACATTCTGAGAAATACAGAGGCAGATATTCCTACAGACACTTTTGTTTTGTGGTAACAGTCTCGAAAAAAAGCCCTTTAATTCACCTGATATTAAGAAATTAAATTCAGAAACAAATGTGCAAAGTCAGTCCTGATGAGTGGATTGATAGCCATTCAGATGGTGTTCAAAGTCAAAGGCATATGTTCCTTGGTTCTCTGACCTAACTGTGGATGTCAGAGCAGTAACGGTTCACAGATTAGAGACGACATGTAGAATTTGGACAGACTATATTGCCACATTAACATGCCGACTAAGGAGAAAAATCACGCTGACCTAAGACTTCCAACTGCTCTGTACAGAGGGATCAAAGTTTAGCAGGGTGTTTAATGTGTTCCATGCTGAACATGGAAGCTTATTACACTCTGGGTGCTCCAAGAGTGCTACATTTCCAGTATTACTGAACTGTAACAGAATTTAAAATGAAAGCAAGGAGAGAACCTTTGATATTTAGACACCAAGATCCTGGACGGTTTGAGATAGCAAAAGCCGGTACTCACGCTGAGAACAACTCCTTCAAGAGCATCTTGAGCCTTGCTGGTAAGACGCTTGCCAACCTGAGAAGGAGAAATTCATTAAAAATCAAACACATTATGCAAATATGAGCACTAAGTGTGGGGTTCTCGACATCACACTGCCAGTTCCCTAGAGCAGGACTAGCACAAGCTGTGTCCCAGCTAACAGCGAGCCAAAGGAAAGAAGGCATTTACCTTGATGGGATGCTTGAGTGCCTCCAGCACAGTAATGCGCGAGGTCTCTCTCACCAGGGAGGGCTTGCCCAGACGAGCTTCTATGTACCGCCCTGCAACCCCAGTAGCGTTCTTGGCCGTGTAAATCCCCACTGCCAGCAGGGTCAGACCTGCCACCTGGAGAAGAGGGGAAGATTCTGATCAACTTCCGTTGCAAGGCAATGCTAGAATGACAAACTGGAGTCTCTCCTATTGGCAGGTGACACTCAAGGCTGTATGGAGGGCTTGTCCACCTGTATCCTGGTGGAAGGGTGTTAAAGCACAGATCTATGCATCTCACACTGTAAACGGAACGGTGTTATAATGGAGGTAGATGCAAAATAATCTGTTTTGTTTCCGACTTGGTTAATCAAAATTTTGACAAATGAAACGGAAAATTAAATGCATCCTCAAAGCTGCATTAGTTGCTAATTCTGTTTATCTTTGTGTATTCTATGAATGGTAGAGTAATGATCGGATTCATATTTACGTGCTAGTGTACAGAAAGTAAAGTGCACCTCTAATAACTACCAGTATGTGATTGCTCTGTATTAAGAAGGGATTTTTCAGTGGTCCTTCCTTTGAATTAATGGACAGGGCATCCTTGACCATCACAAAATCACCAATTAATAATCTATGTCAAATCTGGCCCCACATGTAGGTTTAACTGAAAAACAAGCAGCCACAAAACCTGAAGACCAACAGAACTGTTTCCATAAAAGTGTGCGTGTATGTTCTCTTAGATCACCGGTAAGGTTTGCACGTACCGCAACAGTGTTAGAAACTCACTGTAAACAGAAAAGAAACAGACCCGTCTCTCTCCATTGCCCAACCTAAGAGTGCACTGGGCTGCAAGTTCTTCAGGCTAGGGTACGGGTGCCCTTCATTTGTCCCATGAAGCACCTAACACATTTTGAAAATGTTACAGCCCCAGTTTCAATTATTTAGAATGTTACTTGCAATACAAGAGGATTTAAAAAAAAAAAAAAATCTGAGCAAGTTCCTTTAAATACTTTAGAAGGATTTCCATAGATGAGAAACTCTGAGCACAGCTGTGAAATCAGAGTAAATCCAAGAATGACCGAGGCTCCAACTGGCAGTAACCTCCCTTGACCAAAGGGGCCGTCGAGGTCAGCTTCAAAGCTTGGCTCTTTCACAGAGTGCTTCCTACCGGTGGTGGAAAATTTGGTTAAAGGAAACAAAACGAGGTTAAAGATGAGTGAATGTTTGCTAGTGGCACGAGGGCAGCTTGGTCAGCTGGAAAAACATCCTTGATTTGTGTTATTCCTAACAGAACTCTCAGGAAAGGAAGGTGCTTTAATATTTCAGCACTTTATCCTACGGAGGCCACGTCCCATCAGCACACCATACTCTGCTGTCGGTCTTTGATTGATACTGCTTTGGTGGCAGTTGGAGAGCTGTATGGTAGAGGACAGTTCCCAGAAGCTCAGACTGAGCTTCCCAAAAGGCACATTAGAGATCAGGCTCCCAGTTTTCAAGTTAAGAAAAATCCAATTTAAGGAAACAAAGGGGAAAAGCCCAAGTGCCCCATATCTCCTCTGCTATTTAGCAGCCCCTCAGCTACGCATGGGCCAACACCAGGCTGTTCCCTCATGTGGACAGGATTACCCAGAGCGGTTGACAGGAGAAAAACCCGTCAGTGAAGGGAGCGGATATGGCTTGAAATCGCACCAGAAGCAGGTAAGCATGGAACTGCCAAATTCAATGTCACTTTACCACAGCCACAATTCTGAATCATTGCATGCTGAACTAAGTGAAGGTACAGCTGCAGACTAGGGTTGCCGGGTTAGATCGAGCACCTCTCCCTCATGGCCCCTGTAAAATAATTTTGGGATAGTCACAAAAATCCTTCCCCTTCTTCCATTCCCTTCCTTCCAAAGGGTGGGGGGTTGGGGCATCTCCTTTATCCTTAGATGCAGAGGTACTCTGCTTCTGCATTCAAGCTGCCAGTCAACAGCTGATTATTGGCCTGCTCTGAGTTTGCTATACAAATCTTTAACCCCAGTCTTTACAACGACCAGCAAACTACTGTGCCAAAGCCACACAGCCCTGAGTGATAGAACACTGAAGGCTCTGCATTTTACCTTTAATCCCAATCCCCTTGGCAACAGTCCAGGGAGGCACGAGGGGGCAAACAGGATGGAGAAGTGGTGCCTGCTTCACCCTCCCCATCTCTGCCAACCAATCCCTCTTCCAACCAACTTGGCTTTATTTGCTCTAAATGAAACCAGCTTTAATTAGGATGAACTGCCCCCACCAGGAAAGCTGCCAGGAAGAAAGCTTCACTCAGTAAGGTGAGTTACCCACAGGCCGTTTTAACACCATCAGCAGCTGCTTTGACAAGCAGCCTGTAAATAAACTTCCTTCAACAGCCATTTTAGTGTCCAGCTGAACTCTTAAAACCAATAATTACTACATGAATTGAGTGCAGAGAAAACCCCACTAGTTACTGTGCAGCAAAATGCTTTGAACAGGAAAAACGACAAATTCCAAACACCACAGGCGCCAATGTGGCACAAAGGGGGAAAGAAAGGGGGTCAGGGTTGTGCTGCAGAAAGCTAGTCCTATTTCTAGATTTTAAAGTCTCCTTAAATTACTCACTTATGGACCAATCTGGGGAAAGTGTCACAGCCCCATGGTGTTCCTGGAGCATTACTGCATGAGGGAACAATGATCTTCCAGCCAACAGAATCCTTAGCTGTTTTAACGAACTATGGTTCTGAGTGTCAGGTATGAGTCTCCTTAAAATGGCCTGACTTTCAGGAAATGCTGAGCATACAGGTTGAAAATCTGGCCCCTTTCAAGTGCGTCAAGTTGGGCACCCAAAATTAAAGCCACTTTTGAAAATCTTGACCCATATACACAAATCACTTCACCCACCACTGAAATGCAGTAACCCTGGGGTGGAACCATATATCAGTGCATAGCAACATGAAACAAAAGTCTAGGAGGGGAGTAGTGTATCCAACCAAAACTGCACAGGAATTTCGGGAAGGCAGAAATATCCACCATCATAGAACCACAAGACTAATAATTCATCTGCACTCCTATAATTTCAGGGCTGAACCTTTTCAAACCAAACCTGGTCAAACGAGTATTTCCCTTAGGGGAAGCTTGGCTCCCAGCACTCTAGAGCATGGCAGCATTACTATACCGTGGGGTGAGTTATTTTTAAGTCTCCTCTGGACAAGAATGCAACTGTGTGCTGTGCTGGTGCCCCCCCAGAAACTACTTCTTGGGATGAAGAGGCTATGACAAATGTCTGAATTCTGCTTGCTACTGAGGGCTAAGGGCAGCTGTTTTCAGATGAACATACACAAGCAATTCATCACCTGTCAAAATGAGGTCAGAGATAGCACATAAAATATGACGGGAGATACCAACAATTCAGGAAAAAGGGGTGCAAGGAACAAAGGCAAGGAGCTAGAAAGTTACATATTAGCTGCCCGCCCTTCTTAGGACTGCTCTTTTCAAGCTTCCTTGTCAGCAGGACCAGACTCCTCATCTCTATAGTGCATATAAATCTGGTAGGTGCTAAAGTCCCTAGCTCACGCCAGCTAGACCTTTTACACGAACTGGACTGTAAATGCCATGTAAGTAAAGAGCAACTTGAGGGTTTACAACCGATGGGGGCTCAGAGCCCTTTTGGTATCACTTACTAATCAGACGATTAATGGCCTCTGGACAGACAAGCCAATACAGAGGTGTTATAAAAACAAAGGGACAGAGTTAATCAGAGAGACGGTAAAAACGATGTCCTGACGTGGACAGGTGTGTTGTGTGCAGCATCTTTTTGGAGAAAACCATAAAATTTTGTTTGGAGACTGCTGAGGTAGATAAAGTGAGTGCCACTGAGGAGGAAACTCATCTTGCCCTGTTGTTCTTGTTTTGGCCCAATGACCAGAGAACTTTTTAAGCCCAAAACATAAGCATTGTGATCAGGGCTTGGGATCTGTGCTCCGGCTCCGCTCCAGCTCCAGGAAAAAACCTGCAGCTCCACTGCTCCAAAGCTGCTCTGCGCTCCAGCTCTGGGCTCCACTCCAAAGCCCTGATTGTGATTACCTGATTATACTGATTCATTCAGTGACAGCTCTTTAGATTTTCACCAGCTATGCATCACTCTAGTCCTATCACACTTAACATAGTCGAGCTCCCAATACTAAACGGCAAGACACACTCATCTACTGGTATTACTGTTCAGTAGCACGGACCTACATCCACATTACCATGCAGTGCTGCATATCAGTGAGCTGCGATTAAGTTTGCCACTAGAGCTGTTCAGTCTAATGACCCTTATAAACATAATCCATTATAAACACACTACAGTAAAACCATGCACACTGAAGTAGTATTAGCATAGCATTCTGTACAGAATACTGCAACCTTTTTAGGAAGGGCTAATACATACATGAAGAGGGCTGAAAACCCAATCCAGTACCACCTTGATTATCCAAACGCAATTGTGTGTGGAGAGGAGGAATCAAATTACCTAGGACAGCGGTTTCAGATAATCAAGACCATTTCCATTGTGATTAACCATATTGGAAACTCTTGGTATTACAGGGTTTACCCACAACTCTAACGCTGCTCTTATTTCAAAAAGGACAGGAAGCTCTAAACATTATTCCTAGCTGACTTTAAGTGCCTGTTCACTTTTTCATATCAAAGACTGTAAATGAATAATATATGGAGCCCTGCTATACTCCATTTATCTTTGGCATCTAAGATTTCTGGGGAAATGCATCCAAAATGAACATGTTCGACCTGCTAGGGGGATTCACAGCAGCACTGTCTCTCTCGTGGCTCAGGGGCTTCTGCCCATTACAGTCTGATCGGGGCATTTTTCAGGAGTACAGGGAAACGGGGATGGCTGGCCTGAGTGTGCTTCAGCAGAAGCATTACATCCAGAGAAACTTTGGTTCAGGCTCCAGTACAATGCCTCTGAGCTCTGTTTAACCAGCATCTGAAGGCTACCCTCATTCCCTCTGCAACAGTCAGTTTAGATCAAAGAACATTTCCCTTAGTTCTAGGCAGAAGACACATACCACTGTCTGTAAATATGGGGTGTGCGCTATCTACACCGAAAAGCTCAGGGATCTTGCAGCTCAACTCATAGG